TTGCTTTAACTTCCATGTTAAAAATAATCGCACCCCCTCTGTGAGCAAGCGCTTGGTAAATGGTGGGAATGACGAATCCCCTTTTAACAGGAAGAGACCTCTGTCAGGCGGAGCTGGTTCTCAACAAAAAACTATTATATCGTGCAAAAATTTTCCACAGTAATAACATGGTGCTAACACGGAAATTGCCATGGTTTTTAACAGGGTAACTACTTATTTATACGAAAATGTCATTTAATACAGTTTTCTTGCTACTTAAGGCTCCAATATAAGAATATCAAGGAGCAACAAAATGCTTTCCGTATAACATCCACAGAACCTCTGCTCTTAAAGACAGCTATGGTCATTAAATGGCCTGCACTCAGTATCCTGTCCATGTTTGCACGTGACCATAGACTATATATAAAAAGATGGTCACGCATGGGTTTTGGACTCTTTGAAACTTTAAAATGATGAGGCGCTAATGTTGCACACTGTTGGTGCTGTATGGGAGCCGACTACGCACTGAGGCAAGGCACCTGGAACCAAACATAAAATTAACATCCTTTGCAGTTCAGCAGAAGTCTAGGGGCTACTAGAGGCAAAGCAGAGCTCTTTTATATATTGACAAGTTAAAAAAAAACAACCTGTAATGTAAACACTGCTGCAGTGTGTGTATTTATTTATTTTTTAGTATTCAAGTGTGGGGGTGGTATGCCCCCATAGCACAATGTCACATTTCATTGCCAGAGCTCCAGGAGCCAACTCGGTGCTTTTAAACCTTTTTCAGCATATTAAAGAGAAGACTCGGCTCGTGTGGGAAGTGGAGCTAAAATGGATACAGCTGAACTGCAGAGATAGTTTTTGTTGTTAAATTGAAAGAACAGCTGTGAACTGAATGCACAAACATCACCGTTTTTTGTTATTGTGTGTCTCTCCAGCACGGAGCTTCTCAGGAGGATTTCATCCGGGGCAGCCGGGAGCAGAACATTCGGGATGTTGTGTATGACATCGCCAGTCAGGCTCACGTGCACCTGCAACATGTATGTACTTCACCTGCACAATAAGGTCTACATTGCATGCACATGCACATGGCATATTCCTGTATAGATGTTTCACATGGCAAAAACATGTTCTTTTTAGTGCTACTTTTATATATGATTCACTAGTTTATGAAACTTGGCTTCTGGGATTTACATATGCATCGACATGTACTCAGTTGGTGCAGGCTTTTGTCCAAAGTAAGGGACAACAGATCAAAGAAAAGCTTTGAGAATAATTAACTCAACACTCAACACCATATCCCATTTGAAACAAGTGCAACAAGCCTGCAAGTGTATGAAACAACATAAAGTGCATAGCAAATGACCTTTTTTCATTTTCTCCTGAGAGGTAAGGAAGGAGAGCAAGAGAGCACATTAGATGAGTAAGCACCCTTGTGTGGTTTTTGAAGTCTGAGTGGGAGTTTGAGGGCTAGTTGTTGCTCATTTGAGAATATGGTACCATAGGGGAAGCTTGAACAACAGAATTTGAATATTTCTCATCATCCAGCCACTCTGTGACTGCCTTGCTTTTGCTTAAAGCTCATTGGCACTTATTGTTAATTTCAGGAACTGTTCACGAAAATAAACAAAAACAGGAGGCCTAATTTCCTCCTGTTTTTTCCTCCTCTTTAGATACATAGGCCTAAAAAGAGGTCAGTGACCCCCTGGGAATCTCTGGTGACTAGAAAAATGTGTATTTCCTGACAGGTCGGTAGGTAGTTGCTGCAGGTGAAATCAGTCACAAAGAGGGCTTTAAACCAAAAACAACCTCGTGAATGCTTTGATTGCTAGTAGGTTGCTGATAGTTTGCATGAAAGACACCAACTTGTCTGCAAACATTTTCCAACTATGGAGAAAGCAGTAGTGAAACCCGAGTAAGTTCGAAGCAGTCGGGAAATGGAGAATATCTCCTTTCAAAATAAAAGTTGCGCTTTTTAATACATAACTATTGCAGTAGTAAAGGCAACACAGTTTCAGTACCAGTTAGCAAGTAGTTGGCAGTTGTTTGCATGCAAGATGCTAAGGGAAGATGCTAATTTGCACACGAGTTAGCATCTTCCCTGCAGAATACAGGCAACTACAGCAATGTGATCGGCATATATCAGTTTGCGACCAATTTCATATAGTAACTGGAACCATGAGTGTATATTTTATATACATTCATGTATATAAAATTACACTTTTTTCCCCTAGCAACCCATTAAATGTCCGTGGGTCTGTAACCGTGTGTGACGGGGGCTTAAAACAGCTGACCACAGTAGCTTTTAGAAATATTCTAATATTCCGCAGTTACAAAGTGTATTTTAAGTTGCATACTAAAAACATTTGGATCTTTTACAAACAAATTCCACACAACATATGCACGGTTATGTCGGCCCTTTGAACTCCAAACTGTGTTTAACTTCAAACAAAAACAACATAAAATTTGTTGGTCTTTACCTCTGCCATTGTGTTGCTCTTCCTCTAATTTGTCAGTGTTGTCCAGTATGTTGCCCTAATGAGTACTGAATATTTTCAGGTGACAAATCGACATCAAAGTACAGTTCAATTGAGTTACAGTTAAAAAGAGAGATGGATATTTTTTTCATATGTTCAGTCAGCACTGCACATGAATATGTTTGCTGGATTGCATTCTTATAAACTACATGTTTGTGTTCACCCAGTGCAAATGTAAGCTTACTTTGGATAATAGTGGTGCTCAGGGGAAATAATCAGGCTTTGTAAACCTGTTAGTGGGAGACACTCGTCTTTCAGTGCGGTATTTCTACAGTATAGAACATAACCAGGCTGATCTGTTAACACACTCAGGATTTCGACAACGGCCTTGAATTCAGCAGCAGCATCACATCGAGGCTGGCCAAGCTCACAACATATATTTTTGCATAATGCCTCTGCAGCACCTGTTGACTCGTTTCAGAGACGAGATGAAGTAAAATTCTCCTCCGCATTACTGTGTTTTATAACACTCTTGAACACCTCTTAATCCACTCAAAACGGCATGAACAAAAAGCTGTGCTATAATGTAAATGAACACCAGTGACACATAATGCTTTGACATGCTGTGATGTGCATCTTGCACATTGAAAATGCCCTGGAAATGTCTTCAGTTTGAGTATTGTCTAACTAATGTAGCTCTAATTAGTTGGGAGCTAATTAGTTGGGAGATTTATTAACCTCCACTTACATGCCTCATTGATTTTTGTACTTTAGGAGGCTTTTTCATTAAGTGGCTTCCCAAACATTCATCAGCAGTTACTTGTTTTAATTTGAGCCTTTTTTATACCAGTTAGGAGTGTCGCCAACAGTTAAAGGACGTGTGATATTAAAGTGTAAACAATAAAATGTAAATGATTTCTCTGCCATGAATAGATGTAATGTTATTTATTTTCCTATTGTGGCTATAGCCATTAAAGAGCCAGTTTACACAAATTATGCAAGTAATGACCTCTTTGTGTGTGTGGTATGTTTACATATGTTTGTGGGGATCAAATGCCCCCATTTTGAAGGCATTTTTAAGAGTCAAAATGTGGTTTTAGTGTCAGGACTACAATAAGTTAGGGTTACGCATTCATTTTTGATGGTAAGTGGCTAGGGAAAGCATTATGTCAATAATTATGTCATTTATTTTAATTATAATTAAGATAAATGCATATTTAAAATGATTAAAACTGGAAATTTTAATTCAGACAAAATGTTACATTTAATTATCATAAAGTCAGTTTTTCTACATGACTTCTAATGTTTGTTTGTTTGTTTGTTTGTTTGTTTTTTTTATTCACAGTGTGCTTAAAGTCACATTTGTCTTTTCTACAGACTCCTTTCTAGGTTTAAAAGAAGTGGTACTCTTCCTAGACTGTTGGTCATTGAAACAAGATTAATCCGTCCTTGATGTGTTTCTTTTCAAGACTGACTTCTCAATGGGTCTTAGTTCTTATTTGCAGTACTTGTGTAGCAACACCAGTGATAGGAACACTTACTGTGAGCCAGATGAACAACTACATTGTTTTTTGGTTTTAAAATCTCTTTAATGACACTTTAAATTAAATATAAGACCAAACTTGAATCAAAAATTAATTCATTAAAAGGATAAAAAACAAACTATTCTCTTTACAAGTCAATATTTTTATATAATCTCAAAATTAACATTTAGGAATAATTGAAAAAATGGTTGGGTTTAAACATGCTGTGCATTTGTTATGGTGTTCTGTATTTTCATATTACTATTTCTTTGAGTTACAAGTAAGTTGGCTAGTAAGGTCTCACACTTCATCACCGTATTCTAAGCCTTGCTGGATCTAAGTGTCAGGTGCTTTTCTGTATTAAGATGTTTTTAAGCTTGACCTGCAGCTTTTAAGTTAGCCAGTGTTGCTTATCTGCTTATTGTTACTGTTAAGAATCAACTGCATGAAAATTGGGTAGCCCAAGATGGAGCAATAAGTCTAACCAAACTACTTACAAATTGATTTGAAATTCAGGGAGATTTGATTAAGTGTGGAAAAAGTATTCAGCCCAGTAGGAGTCATGCTGCTCTGCAAGAACATTGATGACACGTCAAAGCATAAGATAGAACTAGTCACCATCGCTTTTGACTTCCACTTGTCCCGATCAAATTTTTAAAAGATACACTGCATACCATCGATATGGTGTCTGAGCTGACAAGCCACTCTCCCAAGAAACCATGAAAAACAAATTACCACCAAAATAATGCATACATGTTTCATCTTTGCTCATTGTAAGAGTCTCTACTGTCATTCTTGGTTACTGTGTAGTATACCACAAACTTCATTCATCTAAATCGAATATGTCGGATTTATTTTTGAAAATTAAAGAGAAGCCAATAACCAGGGCGAAAATCGCAGAAGTCTAGCTCATAAAAAAGTGTTTTGATTGACGTCTCAGTGCAGCAAGTGTAGTTTATGAGCTGCCAGTGTGTCAATATGTTCACTTGCTCCTTTGTATAACAAGAGAAGCACAAAAATGTGTAAGTTGTGTCCATGAGAGAACAAAAAAAGACCTGAGTTCTTCACTGTAACCAGTCCGTCCCACAGCTTCAGGTATGTGCTGTGTGACGGCAGACAAACATGAGATGTAACCGTTTCCTGTTGTTTCTGTGTGGGTGAACGGTCTTTAGAAAAGCAACCCTAAAAGGCCGGTGTGGGCGCGTTTTAAAATATTTGGTGTGGGTGAGTGTAGATAATTTTTTTTTCTTTCCATTTAATTTCTGTTTATTGTGCTCTCTCCTTCAGGCACAATCCTTTAGCCACAATGTTCCAGCAGCTGCCACTCCAGCCTTCCTCCCCACTGTAAGTCAAATAATGTGGTCATGGTTTTATTCTTTGACAATTTGATGCTGACATTCCTCTGTATGCCTTCTGAACTGCTTCGTATAAAATCGCTCTATATTTATTTTGGAGAAAAATTCATCTGAATGTCAAATATGCCAAAAAAAATGTCTTAAAGTGACTCAGAGCTTTAATTAACCTGCCATGAAAAGCTTTTAAGAACTGAGCCCATCAATTTATTCTAGTGGATTCCTCTTTTTGTTCAGACTACCAGAAAAACAGACTTCCACTGAGGCCAAGGCAAAGCGATTTTTCAGGCTTCTGTTGCACCCAAACATATTATCCTCATCACTTCTTATCAAGAGTTAAATTGACTTTTCAAACATTCCTTTAGGCTTGAAAATTACGGCTCTATATCTGTAAGATTTATTTTGGGGGGCTAAAATAAAATAATGAAATTGGAAATCCACATCACCTCTCTTGGATATTAATGAGGTGTCCAGTATCCAGAATATTAACAGCAGTGTTCAGTGCAGTTCAGTCAGTGCACCTCCAACACCTCCAGCACCATGACCTCAATTATGGACATAAAGTTGTATTTAGTTGAGCTTCTGCATTGGATTACGTTATATTTCCCAGTTGATTTCCCACTTTTCTGTCTTTAGGACAGATCACATATGGAGGTTTAAAAATGTTTAGAAGTCTTGCTTATTAACTAAAAATGAATGCAAGTCATTGTTTGTAAGAAGCAATCGCAGTTTAAGCCTTTTGACAAACGAGGATCCGCAGAGAGGCGATAGATCACAGAACTGATTATTCTGTGCAGCCATGATGTAAGTTGCGAGAATTTATTTATTTATTTTTTAAAAAGCACGGTGGCGTTCTGCTTAAAGATGAAAACATTTAAAATTAGGGCACAAAGATATGTCTCTCTTTAGTTTTCCAGCTGTTACATGCGATATCTCTGGAAGCTCAACTTTTAATTTGGGAAAAGCCTAAACTTTTTAAAATTTGCATATTTTTAAGATCTGTTAACTTTTATGTAACGCTACATTAGAAAACGTGGCGATTAAGAAAACATATTATTCAGTGGGAGAAGAAACCACATAAATGGTAAACCCACTGTGCCAATGAGCTGCCGTGCCCAAAGATGAGTTTGAGAAAACTTGATTTTAACTGTGACTGCACAGTTAAACCAGATTTGCAGGTACAACATTATGACTACTGACAGGTGAAGTGAATGACACTGATCATCTCTTTCAAGTGAACTTTTTGTCCTGAACATTTATGTGTTAGAAGCAGGAATATATGGGTAAGTGTAAGGATTTGTCAGGGTGCCCATGCTGACCCCCCATCCTTCACTGAAAGCACCAACCCTTTCATAGAAACTGTATTCCCTGATGGCTTTGGCCTCTGTCAGCAGGATAATGCATCCAGCACAACTATGAGTTTCAGGTGTTAGGACTTGGTCTCCTAGATCCCCAAATCTCAATCCAATCGAGCATCTCTGGGATATAATGGACAAACAAATGCCAGATACCACAGCACACCTTCAGGGGTGAAGAGGAGTCCATGCCTCACCGGGTCAGGGCTATGTTTTGGCAGCAGAAGGGGAACTAACATAGTATTAAGCAGGTGGTTCTAATGTTATGCCTGATCATTGTATACCATATACAAGAAAGAGTGAAAACAACCCTTCAGATTGGCTGTCATTTGGGGAAAACAACAAATGGGGGTTACATCTGGCCACTGGGCCTGGTAGTGAGCAATCATTGCTTATGGCCAAAAAACTCAGTTTAGGTCATTTTAGCTGAATGTCCTTTCTCAAGATGCCTCAGGATGTTACTCATCATTTGCAGTTTGAGCGAGGAGGAAAATTGATGGCACACAATGTTAAAAACAAAAACATGAGCATGCTCATCGTTGCCCTGCTGACCTTATTTGTTGCCTCTGGACTTGGGCACTGGACTCTTCATCAAAACACTATTTGGACAGTGACTTGTAGCTACACAGGCAGCTCTTATCTCCAGCAGTGATCTTCAGCATGAAAGCTGGATCAGTTTGACACAGAAGTTGATAGATAAAATTTGAGGTCAATGTTTGAATCACAGATTCGGCGTGATTCAAATATTCCAATGATTCAAGTCCCGCAAGGTTTTAATCACAGATGGTAGTTTAGAAATTCACTTTTAGAACAGACAAGTATGCAACAAAGTGTTTTTCTCATGACGCAGATAGACGTTGTAGTCAAAGTTGAGTGTCCACAAGAAAGACTGTGATTAAGCTGCCTGCTTTTTTGTTTTTGTTGTTTTTTTTTTAAGTGTTATGTGTTTATGTGTTGAGTCCTTTGCTGTGTGTGTTTTCAAAGAGGTGAAGAAGGGTTTTGATCCTTGTTATTTGTAGTCTATCTCCAAAAAAATGAATAGCTTGAAAAAGTTCATTTTAATTTAAAAAGTAAACTGTCAAATTCTATATTTATGACATGTAAAGTGAAAACTTCAAGCCTTTTTGTTAGAACTATTTAAACAGTGCGAATACACACAACCACAATCACAGGGATGACACTGACCTGACAGTTGTCCAGATGACAATCATCAGCATCTTTCACAACGAGGGTAAGTCACAGAAAGTTCTGGAAAGGCTGGCTTCTCAAGTGCTGTATGAAAGCAAGGTAATGGAAAATCGACTGGAAAGTAAAACTTTGTCAGAAACACAGGGAAGGGTGCACAAGCAACATGGATCACTTCATCCTTGAGAGGATTGTCAAGAAAAGTCAATACCAGCTTTACAAGAAATGGACTGAGGCTGGTGTCGGTGCATCAAGGGCCACCATGCTTCAGGAAAGAAGCCACAACTGTCACATTCCTATTATCGGCCCACTCCTGAATGAGAGAAGACAGACGTGTCATACCTGGGCTAAGGAGAAGAACTACTGGACTCGTGCTCAATGGTCCAAAGTAGCCATCTACCAGGAGATTCTAGACCACTTCATGCTTTCATCTGCTGAAAAGCTTTATGAGGATGCAAAGTCCTTTTCCAGCAGAAAAGTCCAAAATACTACCAAAGGGTTTGCTAAGCATGCGATTACTGTGCTTCAGTGTTCCAGCCAACTCTCCTGACATCAATCCAATAGAACATTTAAGAAAGATGAGAAACAGCTGAAACTGATATCGTCAAGTCAAGCTGGGCTTCAGTAACAGATCAATAATAACTTAAGTTGAACACCTCCATGACTCATCACTGCAGTAATTTGTGATAAAGGAGCCTCAACCAATTTTTTTTAAAAGCTTGAGGTGTTTCACTTTTTGTGGATATAGAAGATGTAAAAGTTTACCTTTTTGACATAAATTATTAAAAAAAAAAAAAATTTTCACAGTCGAGTTAGTTGAGATGCACTAGTACTCTAGCGTACTGAATTTAAAGTAATACGTGTTTGGTACCATGAGAATGAAGCACAATATGATTAATCAAAGCAATCTGCTTTGTCCTCCAAATATGTTAGACTGTTGCCTACAAAAAACTAACAACTTATGGAATCAACACCTGTTTTTAATTATTGATGTCATTATGTTGCTGCTACCTGTGTAAAATCTGAACAATACATCATCAAATATCTGCCAACTCAGGATGTATCTTGTGTTTTCAGAGTAGATGTATTCAGATGAAAATGTAAAGAACTTGCATTAAGTGCTGTGTAAGCAAACTGCAGCTCATCTCTTTGGAGATGAAATTGCATCATTATATGACTAAAGCTGAATTTAAAAAAAAAAGAAAAATGTTTCTAAAATTTTATTAACAGCATTACTAAAGTGTGAGTACCTGGAAATTTTTGCTCTACAACACTGAAGTGATGTAATTCACCGAAGGGTTAGTCAATACTTCCCAGTAGCTAAAAATGCAGCACTGCTTTTATCTCACAAGTGGTTCCTAAAAGGAATACGCTGTTTTAAGCTGACTGTTTATACCTGCATGCAGAAGCTGTTTTCTGATTGTAAAACAATGATTTCAGATGATAATGATGCTGATGTACTGACCTGCATCTACTACAGCAGAAAAGCCGAAAAGCTCTCCAACTCTGCAGTTTGCAGCAAAAATCACTCTGCTCTCCTGAGTGTAGATTATGATGTTCATGCTGCGGTGGACTTGTATTATTTGTCCATATGCATGTGCTTGATACTTTTCCAGCTCAGTGTTCTTGCCCGCACAAGAAAGCCGGCACAGACACTCACGTTTCTCACCGCGCCGACGATTTGATTTAAATGAACGGCAGGCTCGGATGAGTCATGTGAAACAGCAGGGTAAAAACAGAGTAGTCCTAGTGAAGCCTGAGGGACATGAAACGCACAACCGCCGCTTAGGTTCTTTTATATTAACACATGAGTAGTTTATTTAAACCTTACAGTTGAGAGGGTACCTTTTTAGAGCTGAGGACAAATGCCATAGCAATATGAATGCAAAGTTCTTTATGACATTGATCACTCAGATTTCTAAGAGAGCTAAAATGCTCTTATCTGATGTAGTCATGCAGATGGTTTTCAAATCATTTGGTGACATTTTGTTTGTTTTCCTACTTTAGTCAAGCTGCAATTTTGTCCTCTATACCCAAATATAAAACCATAAAAATAGCATTTTTAAGACTCAGTAGTGTACATCTGTGGCCATAGTCAATTTCTGGCTAGTTTCAGGTTTCTGACTCGCCTCCATTTTGCTCAGTGACTCACAGGATATGGAGGGGCAAAAAAAAGACATGGCCAGTGGTGTATGTGTTTACTTATTTCTACTGCAATTGCAGTTAAAAACTTGTTCAAGTACCCTAACCAACAACTAAACCATGTTATGAAGGTCTGAGTCATATCCATATGAACAATACCTGTAGGAGGATGAGTCGGTGTTTACACGGGAGCTTGTTAGGTCAAACCTGTTGAAGCCGAAACCAAACTCTCCTGTGATGTGTGCTTCAGGTGGTGTTGGAGGACTATCTTCACAGAGTGAGGAGGGTGGATTTTGATGTTTTCCACAAGAGTCTACAGAACAGAAATCCCCTTCTCCCAATCCAGCTGTACATCCGCTCCTGGAAGAAGACTTATTGACTTCATTTCTCTTCTTCCTTCAGCCTTTTTAAGGACTGCTGCAGGAAATGAAGTGCAGGGGATTTATCTCACCACTACCACCAAAAAACCACAAACCATACCAGACCAAGTCTGTGGTTCCCACAACAGCTTATATCTTTGAAATATTTGTTTAATCCACAAGTTCACTGGAGGTGTCCTGCCATCCTGATCAGAAAATGCTTGTGTAATGTTTTATTCACAATGTATGAAAACTTTGATCAGATGTCTTCTCGTGGCTTACAGAAAAATCTAATTGCAAATTGGGTCAGTTGTTGTTGTTGTTGTTGTTGTTGTTGTTGTTTTTTCACTCGTCGTTTCTGTAATAAACACAAACTTACAAGTTGAGACCTGTGGGATGTTAGAAGTTACCTTTGCCGAGCTGGACTTGTACGTTGTTTGTATTAACTCTCTTCCTACAGTAAAGTCTATTTTTAGTAACACATACAATTTTTACATCTATGTAGCTTTTTAGTGTTATGTCAAGTTGTCTATTTGATGAATACGACGCTGCTACTGTGCTGTTGTTGTGGACATGTTCACTGAAACATGAAACGCTGAGGTATGACTTCAAGCTTTAGCTTCTGAGATCTGAGAAAATAGTGGGTGATAAAACCGGAGCAGTCAGGTGGGTTGGAAACAAACCTCTAGGTGAATATTTAATAAAAACACTTTGAGAGTACCTGCAGACAGTTTTTTTTCAAACATTAGTGACCAACATTATGCCTCCCCAGGAACACAATACATGTAGCAGACATGTTAATTCTGTTGTGAGCTGTGCTACCGATATGGTTTCTACTGTATGTGGAATTGACAGGAGCCTGAGGGACAGACCTCGGGACAGTTACATTAAAAAAATAAATAAAAAGAAACTATGGAATTTTTTTTTTTTTTTGTCCTTGTTTCCCTATGATTCTCTTCTCTCTTCTGCTCTTACAAATGCCGAGTGCTTTCTCATAGGAGCTGGGGTCTTCAACTTGCAATATAAAGCTTGGGGTAACTGATGAATTGAAGCTAAGTAATGCCTGCTTGACTACATTAACACGTGGATGTTTCTCAGTAAAAGTCTGCCAGACCAGGGTTGGACAATTAATGTTCTCAAGAGCTTACATAGGAAACTGGGACTGTTATGGAGGGCCACACCAATAGGCTTATGAAGAGAGAAAAATAATATGAGCAAAATTGAGTTAAGCTTGTTGATGTGGCCCTCCAGAACAGTCCTAGTTTATTCTTTGACATGACAGCTGTGGACTCATCATCACATGAATGTCATGGTAATTTGGGGCTTTTAATTTTTTTTAACTGTTCTTTTCCCAGGGCAAAATGATTGTACAACATAGTAAAAACAAGATTTGGGTGCACAAGCTTTGGCAGCATAAAAGGATCTGTTTGACAGCTCTCACTAGATTCACCAACTTGGGAAGGTCTCTTCGAGCCATTTTTAAACAACTGCAGATTTAGAGTTTATCTGTTCAAACAAGTGCAAGTTATTCAGATGAGTCACAACTTTGCCAAGGTTTCTGAAGTAAACCCAAACTGTCACCCTCAGATCAGAAATTGGTTAGGATGTTCAGAAAAAACCCAGTAATAGCAAAGGTTAAAGTGGTGGAGTTAACATCATGCGCTGGTGCTGTTTGCTGCCTTGGATGGAATAATGAAGAAGGAAGACTACTTCCAAATTCTTCAACTTCAAATGAAATCAACAGTTATATGGTTGGGGCACCCACCAAGACAGTGATCGCAAACACATATCAAAACTATAATTTTGACCCTATGTGGATTAGAGAAAATCAGAAGTAATTCAAATTTGTTGTTTTTATGATTAGACAAGTTTTATAATGATTCCAGTATGGAAAAAGAACACTTCAAAAATCATTAAAAGCCCGAAATTACCATAACATTCATGTCCATGAAGCATGTGAGCATATGAAAACTTTTGACTTCAACTGTATGTTTCTTATTGTCAGTACCTTACCTACAAATACATTCACTCTTCTGCAACTGTGTCAGTTCAGCTTGCTGCAAAGGGACCTTTGACACACTAAACTCTTATACCAGCCTATAGTACATTAGACCCTTTTGTTAGCTCAAAGAGCCGTGTTTTAATGCTGTTGTTTGGCAGCTGTAATGTCAAAGCATCAGAGTTTCATATGGGCAGAGTGAGTATTCTGGTCATAGGTCACTTATAAAATCCCGAGCAGCTGTCAGCCGAACACACATCGGACCACAATTGATGAGATTGTAGCAGAAAAACTCCATTAAGCCGACTTCACACAGCACTCGTCGACCTTTCACCTTTTGTCATTTTTTTTATTTGATCATTTTTAAGTTAGATGAAAGTTTACTGCCAACAAGTCCTGTTGCTTTTACCGGCAAAAAGTAAGTAGACTGTGAGTCTTCTCACATTATGCTATATGTCACTAACTTAGGTGTCTTTATCCATCATTTGGGTACTGTTGATACTTTGTACGGCTGGTCTGTTCACAGCTTTCCACGTTGTCTCACTGTCTTGAGTACACTACAAACTACAAAAATACAACCTTATAAAGAATACAAGAAAAGCTGGGGAAAACTTTTGCAACTGTAGCAAATTCTGCAAAACTTTTATGCATTATTCTTGGGAGACAGTCTGAATTGTAATCCTGTTATTTTTGTCATTGCCAGTAATTTCGAAAACTTCCCATTTGTTTGATACAAGGGATTTTAGGCTGCTTTCCTACCTTTAAATGCAGAATTGCTGAGGCAGGAGAGGAAAATATGACTCAAAGCTTTCATATAGTTTTGTTCCTGGCTTCAGGAGGCCCATGGAGCCTCTCAAAGAATGGAGCCACATATAAGTACAGAAACTCAAAAGGTAATGAGACTGAAGATGCATACGTAGGAAGCAGGCAGTTCAAACCCGAAGCATTTTATCTCTGAACAGCCCTGTGGAGAGCAGTCTGAAGTTTTCTACGGCACAATACATCGGTGTACTCAGACAGGTTCCTCTGTCTTTGTGTGTTACAGTCACTGTATCAGCAGGTGTCTCACCTAAAATAAATCTAATGTTCTGCAGCTGTTATCAAACCAAACAGCCCCGAAGAGAAAAGAAAGAACTGCAGCACGTCAGCTCAGTTTCACACTGAGGCTGGAAAACATCGAGGAAATTGCAACCAATCAAGTTTCTCTAGACTGAAACAACCCCCACATCATGGCTGTTGTGTCTGTGGGATAGAATACCGCTGGAGCCTTTAAATATAATGAGTTTCAGCAATTTCTTACAGAGCTGACCTGCCTGTTATTCTTGTCGTTCGATAAATGCTGCAATTCTGAGATACGTGGAGGTGCATTACCTACATTTCGATGGCAAAACCTTTTACTAAACTTCCTTTTTTTTAGTTTTACTGGAAAAATATTCGTTATTTCTCTCAAGCAAAAATACATCAATAAGTTCAGATGCAACCCACGACCCTGGAAAGGATAAGCAGAAGCGAATGGTTGGATGGATGGAGGTCATTCACTTACTAAAATACCCTAAAAAATCTGATTTTGCTGTTTCTAAGATCCTGCACGTGGTTCATACACCAACCCCAGCTAGAACAAAGTTGCTCTGTGATTAGTGAATTTCTAAGTAACCAATGATGTCCTAGGAATGTTGTTGTTTACCTGGAAAAGTTAAGATGTAGCTAAGTCGCTCAGTTATGAATTTGTCATTGGTGGTGATCCCAACCCAAATCTTAGAGGAGCACATTCTGCTTGTCAGATCTGGGTAAAAACATAAAAAAAAATTTACAGCAGAACATCCCTTTAGCTAATCAAGTCTGAAAAAAATTATAAGAAACTAGCAATTTGTTTGCAGCCTCTTGTATTTCATATTTTATTAAAATTTACTGTACTTGCTAAAACTGCTTCAGCTAAATCTTGGCCGGAAAAATCCAATTTGTACCTGAAAAAAAAAAGACTATGATGGCCATTCTAGGAACATGTGGGCTACATGGGCTCTTTTTACATCAAGGACTGCATATTGCAATATTTCATTAACTATTGCAGAAGAAGCAGCGTTGTGTTTTTTAAAGGAACTTCACAAATTCCCAGACCATCTGGATCGATTTGGTTGCTTCCTTCGTGTCCACAGATATCAGCAAGCCTTTAAGCCTCTCTGACTCCACAGCAGTTGCTCTGAGCACCTGTTGAAATGTTTGAAACAGGTTGATTATAAAATCAGTTTATGTGGTGAGGAAACATTGCCTGTTTAAAAAAGGAGAAAACACTGGACAGTACATTATCTGACAGCTCGTAGCTCAAATGCAAAGATTTAAATACTGAAATCTTCTTGCACAATCCTGATGCTGTTTTTGTGGCTCTGCGTGTCATTTTGTATATGAGATGTGCATTTATGATAAAAAGAAATCACGTGGGAAATTCACCTCTGGGCATCGAGCGACCCCACAGTGCCACAAAATGAATAAAAATGAAAGTTATTTTGAATGCTTGGAATGCTATTAGCATGTTAATTTGGTCCATCTATGACGTGTGTGGTTTCAGACGCTTGGCCTTTTTATGCCAAACCTGACACAGAGACTACAGATATGTTAGCACCGGCAAAGTCATGTTTGTTTATTTATTTATTTATTTATCAAACTTGCAAGTTGTAAGACATAAAGTCATTATAATGTACAAAAGCACTGGATTAGACCAGTTAAAAATCTGACAAAAATAACAAAAATGTAAGTAAGAACGGAGACATACATCTAGAGACTACTTGAAATATTTTTAATTAATGAGTTCTTATTTAATTATTTACAGCAAACCACATGCAGTTCAGTTTTAGAATAATTTACATAACAAAAGAAGGTCACAGGAAGATGATGATTTTGGTTTAGAGTTCTGTATTTAACAATGTAATAGTCTCTTTGGACTATGAGGGTCACAGACGACACTTCGTCCTGCTGTGTAAGTAGGGAGTGGGTGCAAGAGAGCCTGGAGAGGTGGAGGTATGCTTTGGAGAACACATGTTGGAATCAGAGGGTCAGGTGGAAAGGTGAAAATGCAAGGCTGTGCACTGGTCAGAGTCTGTGTAAACCATTACCAAGTTCCAAGAGTTCACTTTCTAATATTGTAGTGTCTTTATCTTAGTGAATAAATTGACTTTGTTGTGAACTGTGAACTGGCTACACAAATATAATTTAATTTACCTTAAAGAACACACAAAATAAGTTTTGACCAGTAAACATCGTTTAGCACGACCTGAACCACAATCTGGAGATTTGTTTATGTAAATTAAGTTTTGATGGCTGAGAAGATGGGCATAGAGAAGACGGGACTTGTGTGTAACTTGTTTATGAACGTGCGATTACTGTCAGCTGTAGGACAGCAGGGACAGGCCGTTCATAAGCATAAAGAGGCCATTCAGATGCCATTAAAATTAATTTCATGCAAAATCTGATATATTACCTCATGGACATTCATGGATTATTGAAACACATGGACAGAATTTTATATCAAGATTAAAAGGAGAACCTCACCTGGGTTCAGATGTTCAAATGAGTTAATGAAAACCTGAAGTCTAACTTGACCATCCTCTCACATTCATCAACATATAACATAATTAGAGCTCTAAGAGGTTGAAGACAATTTTTCTATAGTTTTTTAGGCTTTCTATAATTTCACATTTGCATAAAATTCAGCTCCTCAAAAGGAAAAAAAAGCAAAGAAATGTAATGTGTTACTCTGCAAGTATATAAGAGAGGAGGTTGAAGAGATTTTTTACTGAAAGCCAAAACAGATAAATGCATGACCTTTACTGTAAGTGTGCCAAGTAGATCCTACAGGAGCGACAGATCGAAATGGTCTCATGTTGGATAATGTTTTTTACGGATTTGATGAGCAGGGTTGT